AAAGGTACACATTTATTTTTGTTCATTGTTCATAAGTGTTCTTTCTTGTAGTTTTCTATGTTTAAGCATTTTTGAATACTTGTTTGCATGCTAGTGCTGGTTTCCTAGATGCCAAGTACATGCAATTTCAGCATAGAATCAAGCTTGAACAAATGTGAAAATGAATACTACCTTTCTGTTTCCCAACTGTGTTGGATTAATTATTTGCTCTTGTTTTACACTGTACTACCAGGAGGGGGAGCCTAACAGGCAGCGCAGTCTCCTTTCCTCCTCTTCTCCTCCATGCATGCTTCTCTGTTCCTGCTTTCATCGGTGATGGGCTATTTGTCCTCTGTCTTTACATAGCCTTCATGTCTTTTGCACATTGCACTGAACTCTGTGTTTTGTTCTGTTATTTAATTGGCTTCCTTGTTTAATGTCACTGTTGCTTTAAACTGTAATGTGATATCTCTTTCACCTTGTTAGTATAAACATAATGTAGTATTCTAGAGGAAGTAACACACTCAGGTCAATAACAGTCAGTGTCAATTTATGCCTTAGACAAATGGGTTTCATTGTAGTGTTTGTATGTTTTAGTTTTTTTTTTATTGTAAAGTCATTTCAGTGTTTGTCAGGCAAATCTGTAGCACTTTATCACAATATTTGTGGCCTTAATTTTGAGCCACAGCTCCCAAGATGGTTGTAATCAGTCTTTAATATTTTTATCTACAATTGCAGTTCAGCTTTATTAAGTGTCAATGACTTTTTTTTAATATGTCGGGGTCATAAGAGATGCTTTTAAGAATTTGTCTAAAATTATTCAAATTTAAGAAATTCCAAATGAATTTATGAGCCACATCCAACATTTTTAATTAAACCTGTTTAGTTTTATCATTTTGCTTTTTGTTTATTAACATTCTGTGTGCTTGTCTTTTGTGTTCTTTTTCTTCAGACAGAATTTCGTTAATTGTTATTTAATATATTAAATGTATTTCATTAATTGAATTTCTTTGCCAAATTAACTTTTTAAATAAAGTTTACTAATGTTGATTCATATTTGAATAAATTAAATTAAAGTACATACTGTACACTGTGCTGTTTGTTTTGCCAAGGTGCTATATTAGTGAGAGGTTGCAGATGAGATGTTTTACACACAATGCACACTCCTAAAACACTACAGTATCTTTGTCATAACACTTGTTTCACTTCAGTAGAGGATGCTCAAGGGGACGACAAGAGTTCAGACAAATACAGAGCTCGCATTGCTGGCCACTGCCCTGCAATCGCTAAAGTTATGAGTGAACTTGCAGAATCTCTGCAGGCACGGCAACAGAGAAAGCTATCTTCTGCAAAGTATGTTCATTCTGTTGAATTCATTTTTCACTGTTCACTGCTTGTGTTCTTGAAGTAACTGATTACTGATTTATTCTTCTCATTTTCCTCTGTAGTTCTTATATATCCCAGCATCAACTAGCAGAAGATTCTTCTACGGGTTTGTTTTCTGAGCATCACACCCCTGAGGCTGAGCTTAAGGCACTTTCTGGCTGTCAGCTGCGAGAAGGTTTGACCACCTTCACCGTGGTTCCCCAGAGACATCAGCAGAGCAGGCAATGTTTTGAGGTGTCACTAACCTTACAGACACCAGACACTGCTAAAGCCGAACAAGAGCTGTGCCCTGGAGACCCAGATACACTTGAGATCCCCACCACAGAGCTTTTGGAAGCCGTCCCAACTGAACCTTTTAGAAATGGGTGCAAGGGTTCAGTTAAAAGCAAACACTTGCCAGAGGTTCTACATCTTCAGCCTGTGGAGCAAGAGAATCAAGCTTGGACAGATGTAGAGAGTGAGAATTTGGAACTTAAAGATGAAGAGGACCAATGTATTGATCCAGAAGACATGGAGCTAGAGAGTTCAGAATCACCCCTAAGAGGTCTTGGTAATCTAGAACATTTAGGCAGTACGATGAATAATCTAGAACTAAAAGGCAATTGGGCTTATCCTTCAGAACCAGCTGATAAACTTGCTGACAGGTCACCAATCGATCCAAAGTCAGGCCCTGTGGAGCAAGAGGAGATGGAAGAACATGCTTTGGTGGAAACTGGAGAAGAAAAAGATTGGGTAGAAGAATACAAAGAGAGGAGAAGAAAGTTTCTAGGCGGTGGGTGCTATAATGAGGGTTTGAAAAAATTAGATGTTTGGGGAAGGATTCAAAGGGAATGTACAAACATGCAAGAAGAGACAACAATGCCAGAAATGAACTTACCATTACATCCACCACCTGTCTACTGGGATGACAATAATAGTGAAAATAAAGAGGATGAAGAAAACGGGAGCGAGCAGGAAATGCAGACCTATGATGAAGACCTTGATCAATACGCAAACTTGGACTCAAAGCCCAAATATGCACCTTATCTGCACTACTCCAAACCGAAGTCCCACTCTACCCAAACTAACAGTGATCCAGGCGCCTCTAGTGCTGAAAAGAACTGCAGCTCTAATCCAGAACCTCATAGAACCTCCTTTTTATCTAAATCACATTCAAGCTTTGACCCCTGCCCTCCTGCAACAGTGTCTCTTTTCGCCTTGGCTGTATTTCAGAAAGCTACGCGCTCCAAACCAGGGCTGGATCCTAACTGCTCCAGGAGACGGGAGCTGCCCATGAACACACACAGTGAGTAAACTGATCGAAGACATCACTGAAATATTAATAGAAGGTTATTAATATTAATGAGAGGGTCAACATTTTTGTTTGTTGTCAATTACAGAGAGTAATTGCCAAATTACATTGATGCCATTGCATTGTCAACCAACTTGTTGACAGCTGATTGGGCTGAAATCTCTCTCTCTCTCTCTCTCTCTCTCTTATATTTATATATATATATATATATATATATATATATCAATGGAATACATGCATGTATTCATGTGTACATTTTATATATATATATATATATATTAATGAAAGCTTGTATTGCAGAGTTCAAATCTTCTTTTTTTTCCCCCTTCAAAGAAATTAGTCCTGAGAAACCTGCCAGGATACTGTTTTCTACATGTTGTCTTTTGTATTTTTGAGCTTAAATAAATGACATTTGTTCGTAAACTTTAAGCAAAATATGTCATCATTCAGATATAGAGAAAAACATAATAGCAACGACAGAGTGGGTGGTGCTGTGTTAAAGGAATAGTTCACCCAAAATTGATCATTTGCTTTAAAAAAAAAAAAATGGCTCCGTTAGTCCATTCAAGATGAAGATGAGTTTCCTTCATCATGACTGATTTTTGATAAATTTATTACATCACTTGCTCACCAGTGGATCCTCTGCAGCGAATGGGTGCTGTCAGAATGAGAGTCCAAAGAGCTGATAAAAACATTGTAATAATTCACAAGTAATCCACATAGCTCCAGTCAAAAAATAAAAAAATCCAAAAAGCACCATAAAGTGATTCATATAATAATTTACTGAATATATTGCTGTCCATCATAGCTCCATTCTAATGTGCTTTTCCATATTAAAACGGTAAAAAGCATGCAACCATGATGGTAAAATGTTGTGACCTGTAAGAAATCCTGAGTGATTATCACATTGCTAGAGTGTTGCTCTTTGGTCCCAATAATCTATGCTATACTGTACTCATCCTTATATATGGCTTGGGTTCCAGCAAGTCTATAATAAGTCTATACATTTACATTTACATTTAGTCATTTAGCAGACGCTTTTATCCAAAGCTACTTACAAATGAGGACAATAAAAGCAGTCAAAACTAACAAAAGAGCAACAATATATAAGTGCAAATGACAAGTCTCGGTAAGCCTAATGCAGTACACGTAGCAAGGTGTATATATAAATATATACACACACACACACACACACACATATATATATATATATACACACACACACACACACACAAATATATACATATATATATATATATATATATTATACACACACACAAAGAAAAACAAGTAGAATGGAAAAAATAGAAAGCTAGTTTATATGTATACACGTAGCTATACGTGGAGAAGCTATGTCTGTTAGCATTCCCAGTGATTGATCATTCTTTGTCACATGTTTTTTAATGTTTTAACCATACTGTTGTCATATCGAAGTGCAATTTGTATGGCGTAAACTCATTTAATGTAACTGTTAGGTTCACTAGGGGGCAGTATATACCAAGAGTGATAAGTGCTAAGTGCTTGAGAACGGTATATTGTGCATGTGT